TCGCCATTGCAAGGTATTTGTACCAGTCGATCCTCAATTAGCTGTTGCCACAGGAGCTGTAATGTGGCGTATGAATCCAGAGAAGATTAAAGCAAGACGATCAGATGCTACTTACGGGATAGCAACAACGCTACCTTTTGACCAAATGAGACATAACCCACACCACATGTTTTATAACCCAGAACAAAGAGAGTACAGATGTCGATCAGTTTTTAACGTATTTCTCGAGAAAGGTGAAATAGCAAGTGCTGACCAGGTCATAACTACCTGCATGACCCCAGCCAGTCAATCATTCACTCAAATTAGTATCACCATTCACTCAACACCATATCTTGGGATACAGTACACAGCTGATATGCATGGTAGGAGCACAGTCTACAAAATAGGTCAACTTGTCATCAATATACCTAACCCTCGCAACCTACCATTGCATCAACGTATAGTTGACATCACTATGGATTTCAGTGGTACAGAGATTCAAGCTAAAGCAAAGTATCATATCACTGGAGAAGAAGTCAAAACTGTTTGTGACTTTCTTTCTGCTTAACAAAATATATTGACAATTTTTGTTTTTATAAATAAACAGTTTCAGCATTGTGCTAGAAATTATTTTTTAGTAAACTAAAATACAAAAATTAATTATGTACCATATTTGCCTGATTAGAAGCCAAGCTTAAATAAACCCCCATCCTTAAAATATTCTCACTTTAGATGCGCATATTTTATCCAATTTAGGTAGCCTAGACGTTATATTGCTCCAAATACCTTAAGGCCACTATTAATTGTGAGTACTAATTTTTGCTTTTTTTGCGAGTGGCTTTAAAATTGCAAAAATTAGTACTCGCATTTATTAATAAATTATGTTTATTAACAGTTATTAATTGAAAAAAATGAGCAAAATCGCAAAAATTAGTACATGTTAAATCAATACCATTAACAAATCGCTTGTCTACTTAAAAATAAGTGGCTTTAAGGTAGCTTAACTTTTGAGATACAGGCTGAAGATCTAGGAGTCACGGGTTTGATTCCCACTTTAGCAGATTTTTTTATATTTTCCCCTGAATAAACGCCTGAGCTTCTAATCAGGCAAATACGGTACTATATCTAATCTAATTGTTGTTCACTGTTCAGTTTATTTATATTATTTGTAGCGTTTTATGCAGTTTGTACACACAAAAGAACCTTCAATAAATACCATACTTCCTGTAACACAGTTGCAGTGAACACAGGCTAAACAATGCCCATGATATAAACCATGTCCAATATCAAGAGCCTAACATAAGCATATGAAATATGTAGCAATCTAATATTATTGAGGCGAACCTTATCATCTAAAGGATGTTGACACCTACTGCACAAGCAACTACTGCAGTAAACCATATCATAGTTCATTAAATATCGATGATTTTCATCAATTGTCTTGTTACATCTAGCACAGTAGGAGTGACGATGATGCCAATACAAGTCCATTTTAAAAGTAGGAATATCACTAAAAATTATTTCATATGCACATAAATTTTTCATATGACATACCTTGGATTATTTGTGAAACCCTTTTTTGCAAGCAGCACATTTACTTTTAATCTTTTTTTCTTCAGCTATATCATTACATCAGTGTAAAAAGAATGACACATTTCCTATTATACCTCTGGCTCTGCTAGCATCAATTGAATTGCCTCTGTTAATTGAACCTGCAGATTTATTATTATTATTATTATTATTATTATTATTATTATTATTATGACTTTACAACACACAGAACAAAAATTAAGGATAAGTAACATAAGAGATAGGACAGGATAGAAGTGTTGAAGGCCAACTGACTCCAACTACTGAAGCAGCCTTTATAGAGTAAGAAAAAAAGGAAAAGAAACAAAATGAACAAGAACTACAGGGACACAAATAATGATATGTGCATGAATTATATAAATCAAAATGCAATAAAAAATGATCCCAGAAGTGATTGATGCTTTGTTGCTTTACTTGATGTGAAGATGTTGAGAGGTCAATGGCTGGTAGGTTGTTCCAGATATGTACAATCCTGTTAAAGTAAAAGTGATGACTCTTAGATTCTGTTGTATTTATGTAGGAGTTTATTTTGAGTTGAGGATCAAGTAGAGGTATTGCTGAAGGAGACATAGTCTAGAATCGACATATTTCCAGAGGGGAGTTTGATGGCATTTACAAAGTACATTATATCATTTAGCTCCAGCCAGTACATGAGGGGGAGTAATTTGAGTTGAATCAGCCTGACTTTGTAACTTGAGTTGTAGTCTCCTAAGATGCATTTGGTGGCATGACGTTGGACTCTCTCCAAAGTGATAATGTCTTTCTTTAAGTTAGGCTGCCAGACTTGGGGACAATACAATAGTTTAGAACGGACTAGAGAGATATACAACCTCCTCTTAACTATAATGCTACTTGTAGAGAAAGATCTCCGTATCATGTATAGCATTTTATATGCTTTTGAGCATATATGATTGACATGGCAAAACCAAGACAAATCACCTCTGACTACATGATTACTCCAAGATCCTTGTGAGAGTCAGGTACAGATATTTCAGAATCATCAATTTGGTATAATGGACAGCCTGAGTCAGAAAGAGAGAATCGGATAGTAGCACACTTTTTAGAGTTTAGAGAGAGAGGAACCAGACAACCAATGAGTCAACTGCAAGTGACGAGATAAAGAGGAGACATTCTGTAGCTTTGAGTCATCAGCAAACAGAAACAGATGAGATGAATCGATAACATCTGGTATATCATTCACAAAAACAAGAAAAAGGAATGGTCCTTTAGATACATATAGCTGCTAAAATGACAGCTGCAAGTGTATTTAGAATGCCTATATGCATTCTAATTTTGGGGACAAATTTATAAGCAATGTTTTAATGTTTTACATTTGTCTAGTACAATGCATTGTTCCTTTTACACATAATTAGGGGCGACATACATGTACATACATACAGACAGACAGACCATGGACTGTGGACACATAGTATCTATGGTGGACAGACATACCGTATTTGCTTGAATAAATGCCCTGCTCAAATAAACGCCCATGCTAAATATTTTCTAACTATAGATACGCAATTTTACCCAGTATATGTGCCTCAGGATTTAGATTGTGCCAGATGGCATAACTGTTGGAGTACAGTTTTGGATGCTTGAAAGGTCGCTGGTTCAAACCCACTAAAGGCTTTTTTGTTTTTTTACCTGATTTTTTTCCTGTTAAGAATAAACGCCCGGGCGTTTGATCGAGCAAATACGGTACTCGTGTCTTTATGTAGGGCTTGCCCCAATTAGCATTCATTTTTTTGTGTGTAGTTTCAGCTAGATCATACAGAATTTGAAAATAAAATGATTCACATACCTTTTCCATAAGAATAGGCTCCGTCATAGTTTTTTTCAGGTTGTTGATGGGCCTGCTGTTTTTGTAGAAGGATATTATTCATCTGTTGTAAATGAGTTTGCTCCTTTACCTGATGTGGTAACTGTAGTGCAGTAGATGAGTAGGTCACAATATCTCCAATGTGATCAAGTGATTTGATATCTTTACTTAATACAAAGTCACCTTTTTCCTTTGGATGTAACTCCTCAACATTGATCCCTGCAGTAACTTCTTTCATACGTTCCATCATCTGTTTCTTAAACCTCAGGACTTGTTGAGGACTGCCTGTCTTCAGACTCTGTTCCACATGATCCTCAACATCCTCCAGAACACTCAAACTCATTTCTGCTGATTTCATTTGCTCTGAAAGCACCTTTAGTTTATCATCAGTGACTCTCTTTGCCTGCTTGGTCAGCTTCCTCTCTGACTCACGAAGAACACCAATCATTTCCTCTACCATTTCGTGTATTTCTTTTAAGACTCCTTCTCCTCTCTCTCTGATCTCACCCTCTCTTTCTGCTAGAGCAGACAGGACCTTCTTGAGTGCTTTCTTCTTTCCCTCAACTGGTGATAGACATTCTCTTAACTTTTGACAGTGTTTAGTATAACAGTCAGTGATTAAGTCGTATTCATGATGTTTGTGATTCCGAACTTGACAGGTAACACAGATTACTGTATTACATGTTTCACAGAATAGCTCCAAAAGCTTTCCATGATCACTACATGTGGCCTCTTGAGGAACTGATAAATTTGCTGTCTTCTTTGTTAGATTGTACATCTCTTTGAGGTCGTTGAGGTGGAATGCTACAGGAAAGGCTCCCACTCCTTTTTCTGGCAACCCTGTATGATGACGACAAGTAGGACAAGAGAGGTAATAGGTCTCATTCTTCTTATCCAGAGGTAATCTCTCTAGACATTGCTGACAGAATGAGTGATGGCAGGGCAGGATCTTAGGGTTGGTATAATGGTCAAGACACACAGGACAGGTGAGTTGCTCCTCCAGTTTGAGTCTGAGATCAGAAGATGGTTTGGTTGCCATTTCAAAAAAAGAATAAAATTGTGTACGCAAAGCAAAATGAAAAATGAAGAGAGATAAAAGGTAGAAGATGGTAAATGAGAATAGAGCAGGAACAAACAATAAGGAAATGAGAAGTTGAAACGAATGAGAATGTATGACAGGAACATCAGAAAAACAGCCCTTAAACTAAGAGTTGTAAAGGAAGTTATGACAGGTGCAATGCCAATGATTGTAGTAGGCTGGTAGCATCCCAAAATGTACAGTTAAGCATGACTATAGGCTACCGGTATGTGAACTGGAAAGTTTTATTGATTAAATGTGATATGAAAAATAATAGAAAAATAATGTAACAGAATAATAGAAATGGTGAGCCAGCTAAAGTCCAACTAAACTAGCAGCATACAGTGTACATGTACATGTGCATACATTGTACATCTACTCCTGGAGGCTACAAACTTCATGACTATAACATGTTGCTGATAATTACATGTAAATGTACAGTACATGTACGTGCATCAGGAAACTGAACTATAGTACATCTATTTATTGTCAAGAATTACAATTACAAAGCTACTTAATGAATGACAACACTTTTTGCTTTACACTCCTTAAGAGGATTGCTAATATCTATCACCAAACTCACCATTTATCTTACATACACACACATACCATGTACATGTACATACCGGTACATTGAAACACAATACTCTATAATACTGTAGCAGTGAAAAAACAA